ATATTGATGATGAAAATTCTTTTGTTTGATTTTTAAATAATATATCATAAGATGAATATGTTGATTGATTTTTATTTAACCAATAATAATTTAAAAGTTCTTGTTTCATATAAGATAATTCAAAATATAATTCTGTTATATTTAATAATTTATCAGTTAATAATTGATTATTACATTGATTATATTTACAAGTATATCGAATTATTTTATGTTCTTCAATATAAGCTGATTTATTTAAAGAATTTTCTTCAATAACAATCATATTTGTTGTTATATGAACTTCAACTAATGCTTCAGAATTTAAATGACATTCAAATAAATAATTTTTATGATAACTTGAATATTTTCCTGAACAAACATTTGTTAAACATTTTGATAATTTTATTTTATCAATAAAACAATATTCTAAACATAAATTATTATTTTATTATTTTATTTAAAAAATCTCCTTATTATTTATTAATTAATTCTAATCAATTAAGATTATTATTAATAATCTTAATATATAAGAACTTTTTTATTTAATATCACTATTCAATTATTTATCATTATTATCTTAAATAAAAGTTTTTTTTCTTTTTTCTATTTTATATTCATAATTTTCATTTATATTATATTATACATATATATATATATATATATTATTGTTAGATAATAATTATTAAATAACTGATCATACACACACACATACATACAGATATTATTTTAAAATATATGAATTTGTCAATAAAGAGAAATATCGTCTCCTCAAAATCGTCTTGTGTTTTTTAATTTTTAGGATTTTATAAATGATGTCAATAATATGTTCATTCACAATTGAATAAACAGATTTTGAAATATGATTGTTAAAAAAGTTGAAAACTCTGGTTATAAACATAAAACATTAATAATTTTCATATAGAAAACGATAGAAGAATTAAGAAGAGTTATTATATCAATTATGAAATATAATAATATTCATTTTCAATTTTATTTTGTCGAAACTTTTTTCAAAACAAACTAAATGATTAAGAAATAATGAAAAGAAAAATTTTGTTAAATAAATGAATAATCTATAAGAATAAATTTCGTTCTATTATAAATAAAATAAAAACTAAACTGTAAATTAATATAATTATATAAAAAAAAGAAAAAAAAATAATCTTAACCTGTAGAATTTTGATTATTAAAAAGAATTGATTGTAAATTTTTTTTAAAATTAGTATAATTAACTTGTTTAAGCCATTTAATATGATGATAAACAAATAATTTATTACATTGATCTTTATCATAACAAGCATATTCTAAAACATTATAAAATTCTGCTGTTATATTATTATAATCATCTTTATTAAACATAATTAAAAAATCTAAACGTCCTTCACCATAATCA